ACTAATTATAATTCTCATCGTTTTCCCTTCACCTTTTGCTTGCTCATTTCCATGAAATTGTCCAGTCCATCCGAATGCTCGAATCGTGCAACTCAGCTCGCCCACGATTGATTCACCCGAAATGAGAATGGATCGGAGATCTAGAAAAAAAGTTATTAGTTTTTAAGAGAGAAAATCTACTATATAAACTTTCTTTTTCCACCCTTTAGCCTTTAAAGCATTTTTTCGATTGGAATTTACCCTTTTATGATTGAGGCAAGTCGTTGCAATTGGCGTGAACAAGTAATTATGTATCTCTGAAAAAAGGATAATCACTATTTTAAACCTCTCTAAAAACTAGAGAGTTTTACCAGACAATAGAAAATAAATGACAAAAACGGGAATAGCGACAATCATAAGGAAAGGAGAGAGAGGCGATGGTGATGAGGATGACCACCTGCAAGAGATCTTTGACTAACAATTGAGCTTTTTCATTTTTTGTCTGTATCAACTTTGTTATGAGATTTAGAATATTATAGTCAGGAATTAGCATTAACATTAACCTTAACATTATTCCACTAAATTTCCCCTTACTTGAATCCCATTCACCGCTTTGAGATCACCACAAAGCCGAAATGTCCTAGGAGACGCAGATCCAATCACTTCAATGTCCTGGAAAGAGATACTTCAATGACACTTCAATGACACTTCAATGACACTTCAATGACACTTCAATGACACTTCAATGACACTTCAATGACATTCAATGACACTTTAATGACACTTCAATGACACTTCAATGACACTTCAATATTGACACTTCGTGACACTTCAATGACGCTAATCACTTCAATCACTTCAATGACACTTCAATGACACTTCAATGACACTTCAATCACTTCAATCACTTCAATCACTTCAATGACACTTCAATGACACTTCAATGACACTTCAATGACACTTCAATGACGCTAATCACTTCAATCCTTCAGCGACACTTCAATGACACTTCAATGACGCTTCAATACCACTTCAATGACACTTCAATGACACTTCAATGACACTTCAATGACACTTCAGCTGACACTTCAATGACGCCTGACACTTCAATGACACTTCAATCCCACTTCAATCCCACTTCAATGACACTTCAATGACACTTCAATGACACTTCAATCACTTCAATGACACTTCAATGACACTTCAATGACACTTCAATGACACTTCAATGACACTTCAATGACACTTCAATGACGCTTTCAATGTCACTTCAATGACACTTCAATCCCACTTCAATGACACTTCAATCACACTTCAACGACACTTCAATGACACTTCAATGACACTTCAATGACACTTCAATGACACTTCAATCACTTCAGTGACACTTCAATCACTTCAATGACACTTCAATGACACTTCAATGACACTTCAATGACACTTCAATGACACTTCAATGACACTTCGTGGCAACTAATCACTTCAATGACACTTCAATGACACTTCAATGACACTTCAATGACACTTCAATCACTTCAATGACACTTCAATGACACTTCAATGACACTTCAATGACACTTCAATGACACTTCAATGACACTTCAATGACACTTCAATGACACTTCAATGACACTTCAATGACACTTCAATCACTTCAATGACACTTCGTGACATCAATCACTTCAACGACACTTCAATGACACTTCAATGACACTTCAATGACACTTCAATGACTTCAATGACACTTCAATGACACTTCAATGACACTTCAATCACTTCAATGACACTTCAATGACACTTCAATGACACTTCAATGACACTTCAATCACTTCAATGACAGCTAATGACACTTCAATGACACTTCAATGACACTTCAATGACACTTCAATCACTTCAATGACACTTCAATGACACTTCAATCACTTCAATGACACTTCAATCACTTCAATGACACTTCAATCACTTCAATGACACTTCAATGACACTTCAATGACACTTCAATGACACTTCAATGACACTTCAATGACACTTCAATGACACTTCAATCACTTCAATGACACTTCAATGACACTTCAATGACACTTCAATGACACTTCAATCACTTCAATGACACTTCAATGACACTTCAATGACACTTCAATGACACTTCAATCACTTCAATGACACTTCAATGACACTTCAATGACACTTCAATGACACTTCAATCACTTCAATGACACTTCAATGACACTTCAATGACACTTCAATGACACTTCAATCACTTCAATGACACTTCAATGACACTTCAAT